CTCTCTCTCTCTCTCTCTCTCTCTCTCTCTCTCTCTATTTCCTCCTTCTTTGCTTTACTCCCTTTTGTTTTCTCCGTGTCAACGTTGTATCTCAAAGCGCGAGTCCGAATAAAGCGATGAAAATTAAGCCGCGCTTGGAACAATATCCGCGCAGACTGTGTTGTATTTTCAGGAGTAAAAATGTGTCAAGTACATTTGAACGAAACAGCGGAGTTAATTAAGACGATAGCGCAAGCCCTCGGGCAGCTTGTTTTGCGACCACGCGCTAACAAATATTCCATTTCAGTTCCTTGCTTACGTCATATCGTTGAGTGGATGTGAAAAGTCCATCGCACTTTTCAAAAACGACAACAAAATCACGCATTTTCCGATTTTTATCAATCGAAACAGTTAACGTTCGCTCTGACACACCTTTTCCACGTAGGCAACATTCAAATCGGTAACTCTGCTCGACAGAGAGCTTAATGAAACGATAAAGTCAATAGAACCTTTGCGCATCAACTCAGTATTAAAAAGCTAGAATACAATTTTTCGTGTCTCACTCACCCTCGGGGACTTGCGTTTGATGGCATTGTCGACGCACGGGAATGCACCGCACTGAAACACGTGAGAAAATGCATTATGAGACATTTGTCCGTGCACTTAGGATAAAATCTATTCTACTTTACACAGTTTAATGTTTGATGAAAATCGCATTCTCTCTTATGCGAGTTTCATCAAATATTAAAATGCATAAAAACTTGAAATAGAGTAGTCTCTTCTAATTTTCTGATAAAATTCAGCGATATATTAGGACCTTAACTTAGTTTCCGCCCGCAAATGTTAGATGGCAATGCAAACAGTTCTAGTAGTCATTACTAACGAAACAGGTAGTTTGTGATTAATTTCGACATTTCTCGATAACATTCAGTCAGCATACACAATTATTTTCCTAAACAACAATTTCTTTTGCTTTGTGAAAAATGGAACGCGATAAAGTGTTTTTTCGACATGTGCTTTTGCACTATTTTGATTTGAAAAAAAGTGTAGCAGAAGTTCATCGATTACTTGAAGAAGGTTATGGTGATCGAGCTCCATCACATACAACATGTAAAGAGTGGTATAGACGATTCAAAAGTAATGATTTTGATGTCAATGACAAACCACGCTCAGGACAGCCAAAAAAATTCCAAGACGATGAATTGCTAGCATTATTGCATGAAAACTCGGCTCGAACGTTACAAGAACTTGGAAACGAGCTAGGAGTTACTGAAGCAGCTGTTTCCAAACGTTTACACGCCATGGGAAAGATCCAAAAGGAAGGAAGATGGGTACCACATGAATTGTCTGAAAGTGCCATTCACAACCGTTTCAATATCACGGTTTCGTTGCTTGCCAGGCAAAAAAAGAAGAGTTTTCTGTGGCGTATTGTGACTGGCGATGAAAAGTGGATCTACTACGACAATCCCAAACGCAAAAAATCATGGGTAGACCCAGGACAACCATCAACATCGCAGCCAAAACGGAACATCCACGGTCATAAGGTAATGCTTTGCATTTGGTGGGATCAGCAAGGAGTGCTGTACTACGAACTGCTGAAACCAAACGAAACTGTTACTGCCGATGTCTACAAATGTCAATTGAACAAATTGAATGATGAGCTGTTGCGAAAAAGACCAGCAATAGCGAGTAACAGGCGCAAAGTTATTCTCTTACACGATAACGCTCGGCCACACACTGGAAAAACCGTCAAAGAAACACTGACGCAGCTCGAATGGGAAACTCTTCCTCACCCAGCGTACTCACCAGACATAGCGCCTTCTGATTACCACTTGTTCAGATCGATGCAGCACGGCTTGAGTGGTACACGCTTCCGAAATGTTGAAGAAGTGCGAGAATGGGTGGACGAATGGATTGCTTCGAAACAAACATCGTTTTATCGAGATGGTATCGCCCAGTTGCCAGAAAGATGGCAAAAAGTTGTAGAAAGTGATGGAAAATACTTTCATTGAAATAATTTAAATACATTTTTTACAATAAATGCTTTTTCTCAGTATTTTTTGGGCGGAAACTAAGTTAAGGTCCTAATACTTCCAGATACTCCCAAATGAACACATTTAGAAGGTTTTTTGACGCCATTGAAAATTAATTTAGATAACGTTAAAGTAATGAATATAGTTATTTTCAGCAGCTTATGAGAAAGGTTTTTTGGCATTGAAAATTAACTTGACATTGAAATAATGAATATAGTTATTTCTAACAGCTTATGAAAAACAATCTTGTCTTTGAGATATAGAGAGAGATCCAAGCTCGAATAACACGTTCGGAAAAATAAATGCGGCTGAATTAAGGCTCTTTGCCGATCATGTCGAATTCATATTGTGCCGTCAGAAGCGAGAAATGACAGGCTGATGAAAATTGCGTGTCATTTTTTGATAAAGATAAATATTAACGAAAGAATACTTGAAACTGTTTAAACACAGTTATAAAATTGTCCGAAAGACCTTAACTAAATGTCTGATAAAATATGAACAAACCCAAATTCCGGCTAAATTCTGTTCAAATTAATAAGATAATTGGTGAACTAGATATCTTGTTTGGTTAATCAGATATCTCGTTAACCGAAACAAAATTTTGCTAACCTCAATCGGAATTCTAGTTCGTTTATATTTCACCAGACACTTGGTTAATCCGACCAGATTCGTTTTTCCGTATATCTTATGGTCTAACAATTATCATTGTTAATGGTATATGGAAGGTCCACCTTCTATAAAACCTAATCTCATATAACCTTATGTCTCATAACACCACACATTTCCTAACACGAACGCATCAAACATCTGAACGACGAGGTTCGGCTGTGCTCGCGAGTCGTTATTGAACGTTAAGTATTAATCGTAACCGCCGCACTGACGAGGAATATCTTTACGCGGCGAGTATCAGGGACAGATGGGTGATACAGATTGGCTTTATGGCATAATAAAAGATATATAGACGGCGTAGTGTAAGCTGGGTGTCGGGAGGCGGCGCGCACGCAATGTTCGCGCAGCATCCAGCACTGTGAACGCGCCGCGACGGACGTCTTATCAGAAAGATTTTAACTTACGGTCATATTATAAAGTCGTATCCACATCGAGGGCAGAGAAACAGGATTTAACGATCGGTACGCGGTGACCCGTAGTTATACGGGTTATACAACGGCTATTAACTCTTATACATCACAGGCGTACACCGCCAACGTTGTACACACTCCGACGTAATAACATTTATATTCGAATATGCAGCGGGATTATTGCGCCTGGCAGAGGAGATTTACAATCCGGCGCGACAGTTGCCGCGAGCGTCCATGTAAGACTCGCTAGATGACGATTCAATCCGTTGCGAGCGCAATTTTCGCGTAATGGACGACGCGATGTTTCTCCGCGCGCGAGTTCGCGGCGCGACGAGTAAATCCGCTGAATGTTACGTGTCTTTATTTTCACCCGAGGGCTCCTGCACTGACGAAAAAGGTCAGGTGAAAAAAAACGGTAAGGGCTCTCGCCTACAATACGGACGCGGTTACGTCTAAAAGTCATAGCACTGCAAATTCAAGTGTGTTGCTTTCAAACGCGTAAGCGCACCGAAGTTCTTTTTACCTTTCTTCTCACGTTTCTTTCTTTTACGTTTCTCGTGGTTTTGAGTCACGTCATTCGACACGTTCGAGACGTGTAAATTATGATTTAACATGTTCAAACACACACGTGTTCAATGACGTGACTTGAAACGTTAAGAAACATGTAAAAAGAAGATTCGGCCAAAGTATATGGTAACCAAAGCAGGTAGTCGACTCACAGACTATCCGAGTCAAAATTTCAGCCCTACTTGGAACCTGAACTTTCTAACATCTGTATATTCTGAAGGATCAGTGTACGTGTAATACACGTGGAAACTGCAATCCTACGTAACGCCTCTACATGGCAGAAAACGCACCGAAATGCCGCTTGTAAGTTCTTCTCAGATATCTCGGTAAAGCTGGTGGGTTAAATAGAATCAAAAGAGATTGATACAGACTTCAGAGCGTCAAAAGAGGCGTTAAATGGAAATATCGAGGTCGAAAGTAGGAATTTCGAGTCCGGGCACGACTTTAAAACGTAACTGCTATTGCATTGTTGGCGACCCTTAAGTTTCAGAGTTATGCAAATGTTGTCGCGCAAATTGCAAGTGAGTCGAGCTGAATAAAAGTCACGTCGGATCGACGAGAAAGTTAAACTGCAAAATTCAGTCAACAGTGAGAGGACAATGAAACTTAAACTACGTGTACGCGTGTAATATAGACCTTTCAATTATCAAACGATTGATCTGACTGCATAATATGAGTAATTCCATTTCCAATAGCCTCATTTTCAGCTAAATTTCGAGTTTGTTTTACATAAATCATGAGTAAAAGGGAGATGAGGATTTTTCTGGAAGAATCATGCCGGTTAGTTTGCCATATACAACTCTGTAATCGAGTTCGTTTAACTCGATTCAGGTTATTTCTACTGATCTTTGTTTGTTATTGTTGTTATTGTTGTTAAGCTAGATCTAGGCCACATCTTTGTTTTTTTTATATGACGGAAGTAGATCCCTTCGTTTTATCTCTCGCACTTAATATCTCCTCGCTCTTTCCCCCTCCAACCTCCGGATACATCCTGTCCTCTTTCAAATGCGGGAAGTGGGTGCAGTTGGAGCAAGCAGATCTAATATCGTACTCTCCTGTAAGCGCGTTCATCCGTTCTCGCAATAAGTCGCGAGGCGGCGAAGCGATAACGGAAATATCGTCCCTGCGAAATTATCCCACTCGGAGCTCGCCGGTATCGCGATAATTCGGAGCGCCGCAGCAGCTCGTCCGTTTATTACAGCATACCGTTTGACAATGGAAGAAAACCGCTCGACGCTTCCGCTCGTTACGCGGCTGGACGAAACGAGCGAGAGGCCTGCCTGGCGGCGCTCTACGGCCGGCACGAAACCGCGAAAGTGCGGTTTATTATTTTATCGCAGCGCGCATAAAAATGACAGGCGGCCGTGCGCGAAGCGATTTTCGTTACCTGTGAAATATAGACTACCGACACAGAGAAATAATTTCATTCTGTGACAAAGGACAATTGGCAGTAGTTATGCAAAAACGATGTAACCCGCGAAATTATGATTTTTGAGCGTTTTTTTTTTTATCAATAAGTAGTCCATTTGTCTTTCTGCATAAAACAAAAAAGCCTCATGGATGGCTAGAATTAATTAAAAGATAGTTTTTATTTTTTACTAGTTGCGCCATGTTTTATTAGTTACGTCTTTTCTACCCTCTACTGTTCTAAGGGTTGAGCTTATCAATGAACGCCTAAGGGTATTCCTTACTGGAATTCTGTTCGAGTTAACAAGCTTCTGGTAACTTCAAAAGGAGTTCTGGTTCGTTCATATTTTATCAGATATTTGGTTAATACAATCAAATCTTTCTTCCGTGTAGAATATTTTTGTATATATATGTATCTTTATATGTATCTATATGATTTGTCGTCTAACTATTACCAGAAATTATTAATTTCAGCATATTTTAATGAAACTTAGTAAGCAAAATGCTTGATTTGTATGTGACTGTATGTGAG